TACCTAAATTCCGGAACCCAGAGTTTCCTTCGTCAACTTTGAAATACACAGCTTTCGTGGATGGTCCACTTTGAAATAGCTACATGTAACTATGTCAGACAAAATTGTGTGCAAAAAATTATCATAAAAGCTTGATCGCATAATCACCAATAAGTTTAATAGCGGTCTCATTAAACCTCGAAGGCCGAGCATCCCCGCGTGCGCGTGCGTCGATCCTCGCCGTAATTATCCCGGCGACCTGTGACCTGCGCTTCCCACGCCTTCGTATTCACACGAGAACTCAACATTTCCCATAGGAACTTTGGCCTTAAGTTTTGGAAATGTTGGACGATCCAATTATGGAAGTATGGTAAAAGGCTGAGAACGAATCAGTTGCGGTAGGTATTTTAAGTTAGTCAAGAACAGAGAACGAAATAAAATAACGTGGCTTCTAACTTGGACTTGTATTGTTTAAACAATGAAGTGCTCATTTCCACGTGTACTTAGGTTTACCAATTTCAAATTAGTTTGAATTGAATAAATTCATCATACAATGCTGAAATGAAAAGAACAACAATATTGCAATAGATAGAAGTAGGTACTACATAATGTAGTCAAGAGATTACTTTATCTGTATTGATCAAAGCAGCATTTCCAATGCGTGCTGTGCATTAGACGCTATAGAGCGGTGCACGCGCCGGCACGTGGCGGGAAAGCGCGTAATGAGCCCGCACCTGCACGTCACGAATTATGGGATTTCTCGCGCCCTCCCGTGGGACCGGAGGGAATCGAACTGTTTGCTCTGTCAATACGCACGGACTACGGAGCAATAACGGCGAGTCAATATCTCCGGCACATTTATGGCCTCTGGCTAGCTATTGGGTTTCGCAAATATTAATAATAAATAAGGTTCATAACATTAAGACACCATAATAGAAGGTAGTTATTTACTTCAGCAAAGTAATTTATGTTTGTTCAACTGAAAAATAATTTCGCAAATAGACCACCAACTCCGTGGTGGACTCTTGGAGCCTTGGTCTTGAACCTACATTATTTCGCTTGTCAGAACAGAAGGCTTCAAACCCGATTTTAAGCATTAGATTTTTTTAGAGAAGATTTTTGTTTGTGGGTAATATCTATATATATAAAAGAAAGTCGTGTTAGTTACTTCGCTTATAACTCAAGAACGGCTGAACCGATTTAGCTGAAAATTGTCAGGGAGGTAGTTTAGAGCCAGGAAAAGGACATAGGATACTTTTTATCCCGTTCGAAATTTAAAAAAAGTCTGCTTATTTATTGCCATTAAGGCGGAACAAAGTTCGCCGGGTCAGCTAGTTTTGCAATAAAAACAGCCCAATGTAAAAACTAATAGGTACCTACTACATTCAACGGTATGATTGCCTCAAACAATTAGTTAAAAGGGTCACCCGCCTCTCCCAAAGTATTGTTTTGGAGCACTTAAACCGCATTTACACAATGAGTTGCCTAATATCGGTGCAGTACAGATCAATCAGGGTATCAGGGTCGGGCAGGGTGGATCACGCGATGGGAGCGGCACGCGCGCGGCACTCCCACGCACGCGCGGGGGTGCCGCCGCCCCGTGTCTAATGTAAAGACCTTAATGAGAATGCTGATTTTACACAATGACATCAATAAAGAGAATTGAATTACATACTTACTTCATTGTTAAAGTTGTAATTTGATAAAACGTTTTCGCCTTTGTGCAATCTGTAACATACACTGATATAAAAGTAACAACTTATCATTTCAGTGACGCAATATAAAAAATCTTGAGTGTTAAGAATTTTGTGCTAATACCGCGTCATATCATGCAATGGTATTCATTTATCAATTCATATTAAGAAATATTTCGTGACAAATCAAGTGCCTTCATAAACTGAATATTAAAATGTCTCCATGAGTGTATTTTGTAAATATGATATTATTAATGCAAATATCAAAAGCTCTTATCACAATAACGTAAAAGATAATATTGGTCACTGAAGAAGAAGAGCTCGTAAAGTTTTTGAAGTATCGGAAATGGATAATAAAATGTAGAGACAACGCAATTTCACACTCAAAAACACAAAGATGCTTCAAAATGACTTTTACAACAGGACGTTGACGTGAAATTAATTTTTTTGTTCCAAAGTCCTAATAATTTGGCTCAAGTCGTAAAAGCACCTTACGAATTGTCGCCATTTCAGATTTTGTAAGGTGTTTATATGGTCCCGACTTTTTCTTTGATTTTTTCGGACCTGTCGTCCCAAACTGACAAAGGACGATACCTGTTCACTTAAGACAATATTCAGTCAATGAAGAATGTTCATTAATTTTGTTTTTTAGCTTTCTGTATTCTCTGTTAAAAATAAAAAATACACGTGAAAGAATTATTTCGATACGTTAATTAGTTTCCAAGATATTGAATTTTAAAAGTGCGGGCGGCGGCCGGCCCGACATTTTATGCGCGTGACGTCATATTACAACGACTGGCTCATATTTGTATGGGTGGAATCTTGCAAACTGAATTAAGACCCACTTCCAGGCAACCGATTAAGCTGAAATTTCGCAAACACATGTGATTTGGATGACCATGCAATATTATGATGACATGGAAAAAAAAATCACAAAGTGGACAATCGTTTTGTACGTGAGGAAATAATAAACCCAAAAGGTAAGTTTGTGTAAATTTAATTTTGTAGGTAGCCGTAAAGTCACGTTTTGACAACCCGGTGGACAAATATATTATGCGACATTATAATATGGTGTAGTTGTTTGACCACCTGAACATTTATTGTTTGTAACGCATTAACGAATCCACTGACTTATTTTTTTTTCTTTGAGAAATTACTCTAACAAAACAATTTTGAGCAGGTTTCATGTTGCTATGTAGGTAGGTACTGTATAAAGAACGATATTACCAAGTACCGATCCATAAAATTCTTATTGTAGCTGATAAAAGTAATATCGGGTATCTAATTGACCTTACTAAATCATTTTCACCTTGATCTCATTATTAAAAAAAAAGCGTTATGAAGCTGTTGTGATGTAATCTACCACGTTTTGACCCATGATCGCCAATTAATTTGATAGTAATAATCATAACAAACATCAAACTCATCAGTTAAACTACACTTTCCAAACAAAATGTAACAAATTATCTTATTGTAGCCTCGAAACAAAACGTGTTAAAATGGTGCAACACAACATTAAGTCATTTTTAAACGTCATCGGCAAATTAAGCGCGGCATTCGGCTCATTTTATCGGCCACATTACATTATACAACAGTAAACGTCGGTCCAAATAACTCAAAATGAAGCAATTCACTACCTGAGTTCTTTACTCCCTCGCCAAGGTGACTCGAGACTTTTTGCACGATGTGGTTTTTTTAACGACCACTGTGATATTATTACGGCTCGGACCTGTGTGGTCGGACCGACTCTTAAGGGCTACATTGTCCTCGATTCAAACTGACCAACACAATCAATCAATACAAATCACATAACACGTGTGATATTATGTATGTATGACTCTACCTTCGCGCTTGATTTACGACAACTTGGCCTACAGGTAGCGTTACAATACCTCACTAACACGTAAAACTTAATTGTAATAATACACAATATTACTTTGCAGGACTAGTTCTTATTTGACGAAAAAGTATTAAGATACTACCTATAATCAAAATCTTTAACAACTTAATTTGCAACTCTATAGATTCAGTTTTGTATTCGATTGAACTCTACCCATGTTTCGTACCGCAATGTTCTTACTTTATTACATTACTTAGTTATACCTCAACATTACGTTATGCTTAAGCCCTACTAATAGGTAGGTAAATCCGGAAACTAATCTAACATGAAATTATGTATTGATTGTAGGTAATAACAATTAATTACTTTGGATAAAAAAACCCTTGATATCAAGGGTTGTAAAAATACAAAATGTTTATGCCACCGGCAGCTACAGATAAACATTTTGTTTTATATCATATTGATATATTATCTCAATGAAGACGTATTTCACGCATTAATAAATTATTTAAATATTTTTATATTTACTGCGTAATTTACTCCTGATTAGATACTGTCACGGTTTTCATGGTTATCAAAATTTTATTGACAAACAATATATCATCCATCACTGCGTGTAACTTATTGATTATCTCATTAATTTCATTTACTAGCTTAATGCTCAACTATTTAACTTAATAAAACTTTAAATACGCCTATGTTAGTAAATCCCAAGCGTCGTAGTTCATTTAAACGATTATTCATATTGTCAATTATTAGCACTTTCTTGCAGGATTGATGTCTCCATTTAAAAAAAAACATAATTCCATAAGGCATTTAGATTTAATGAATCAATTAATATTCAAAAGGCTTTCATAAACTCGCTCACACCGCCCAATTCATACGGGGCTATTTTTCGCAGCCTCCGGACCTGTCGTGTGACCGCGACAAGTGGATGCCGTCACGTACGGCTATTGTTCGGTACAATACACCCCCCCCCCTTACCTCCTCGGTCCTGGAGCCTTTGCCCATATCCTTAAAAAACTTTACCCAATTATAAATACCGAATCGAATTAGAGACGTTTAGCACCACCAGTTGCGAAAATTTATTGAAGAGAAAGAAAAATAATGTAAATTAAATCCAATATTTAGACAAATTATGTAGGCCTTAATAAAATAAAAGTTGCAGGCAATGATTTTAAAGCAAGCCTCCTTATTTCTAGAGCCTCAATAAGTTCGGGTGATTTAGCTCTACGTACATCTAGTTTATATAAACAGCATACAGGTAAAACACTGGAAACCTTATCGTCATCGTATCCAAGATTAAAATATACAACCAGGTGGCCGTCTTTAGAACAAATTGCGATAATTCGTCATAAAATCCACGTGCACGTATAAATACACAACATAAAGATATACACGTCAGTCTTAATCATTGATAAGATTAAAATGTAGAGCTTACAAGTGCCGGATTACTTTCAGAACATTTGCACTTATACTGATATCTTCAATAAATTAGGTCTGTACTGAATGCACCGGCCGTCTAGGACATTGATACGTGTGCCAAAAAACACAAAGAATGCAAACAAGAGCAGAGAAAACATTGAAATTAACGCCGTGCATCTTATTTAAATAAAAATACACTCGCACTGAGTAAATTGTAACAAAATGAAAAAGAACAAAAGAATTTATATTTTTGTAAGGTGCGTTTGTGCACACTTACAATGATAGCGGGCGACATTAAAAATATTTTGTACTCAAAGTACTAAAGCATAAACAATACAATAATGGGACCAGAAATAAACAACATAACAGACAGGACAAAGTGCATGTCATGAGCGCAACGGCCTTAGTCAGGGCCGCCCAGCGCAGGCAGACGCGGCGCCCGACGCCATGGGAAAAATCAGGCTTCGCCGCCCCCGCCCCGCGCGCCCATTGGGCCGCCCGGCGCCGCCCCGCGCCCCACCCGTGCCCATAAATACTACGCGGCTACGCGCATCTCCTCATTCCTCGCTCGCGACCCGCGGTAAACGCACGTCCGTCTAGCCCAGTGTATTACGTGTTAGTGAACTCACGATGAAAGCGATAACAGCAGTGTGCGCGACCGGCGCCTCGGTCCCGGCCATCGCCAGCGGCCGAGTGGAGCGGCACCGGGACATGGAGAACGCGGAGATCCAGATGTACTTGTCGAAGCTGCAGGACTTGGTGCCGTTCATGCCGAAGCACCGGAAGATCTCGAAGCTGGAGGTGATCCAGCACGTGATCGACTACATCTGCGACCTGCAGTCGGCGCTGGAGAACCACCCGGCGGTGGGCCAGTTCGACGCGGAGGGCGCGCTGGCGTCGCCGCCGCTGGCGCTGGCGCCCACGGAGCGCCGCCGGCGCCGGCCGCTCAGCCAGCGCGCGGCGCCCAACACCATCCTCCGCAACACAACCTCCAGCCAGGAACACAGACATCACACGGTGAGTCTCTATTTCCACTTCCCATTCGTTTTATAGTTGTTAGTTTGAGTCCATAAAAGGGTGCAGAATCAATCATTGCCAAGATGTTCCAAAAACAGAAACATCAAACATTCATTAACAAATCGCAAGTAAAGAAAATCAACTCAGTCCTTAAATAATAACAGTAGGTAACCTACTCGTCATAAGTTTCATAAAGGTAGCACAAAATAAATTAAGTTCTATCTTAATTTTACATGAAACTATTATCCTGTTTTCAAACCCGCTTTCATAGCCACTATGCAAATTCATTTGCATGGGTGTCTAAAGACTTTTTTCAGTTGTAGAGTTTCCACCAGTTTAAGGAGTAACAATATCCATCCTCACAAACTTTCCATTCATAATACGAGTCTAGATTTGTACACTGGGAAATGATGAAGCTCCCATAAACACAATACCACTTCAAAAAGCCGTGTCATGCGAGATAGACACTGTTGCATAAAAAGTAAATGAAATCGGTTGCGTCGGTGTTTTTGCGTCGCGCACCTGCATGTTTCGCAAGCGGGAAGGTAAAAGCGGAGATGGCGAGTTTCACAACGCGCCGCACTAATAGCTCGGTAAACAATCGTGCAATTAGCCGACCCCGACCTACAAAGCCTGCTCACTACTTATCCAGCCCTGAATATCTCTTATCATACCGGTTTTGTCCCTCATCATTGAAGAATCCTGTATCTATAACTTTAATTATATCACAAACATTACCTTCCTTACCTTACGAATTGCTTAGGGAAGAGAACTGAAAGAATTAAACGGACCTACTTAATAAATCAAGAAAGTATACCACTTATTGAATAGTCTGTGTTGTGTGGGTAGACTTAAACCAATGCGTAACTATAAACATGTTGCCCAAACAATCCCATTGTAAACACCACAACAATGTTCACTCAGTTATTCTGATACCGTTTCGTTTACGGCGCTAAACTGAGTAGGTACGTTATGAAATCGTAGAATCGGTAAATGCGCAGTCGCAATCTAAACCGCTGTTCACGCATGCATGACGGCTGTTTTGAATTTCAGCCTTGAAGCGCGGCCACCTGCGCCGGCGCCGCGTAAACGACCGTGTACTGACACACAATCTGAATATTTAACACATATTTATATTGGCTCGTTTAACATTCCGGTTGACACCTGCGTGATTGTCGTTTGTTGGTTTCCACTCCGAGATTCCTTGTCTTCTGCCGTCTCTCGCGCTCTCCCAAGGCAAACCTAAATGCAACGTTTGTCTTGTGTCTGCGTCCGCGGCAGGTGCATCGCTAAGGATTTATTCGTACGGCTGCGATTACGAGCCTCAGGCGCAATGCGCGCTCGTTAATACTTGGTCGCGCCACGTAAATTTTAATCACTGCCAGTTGTTGGAACCGAGGGAAATGTTCAAAACAAGCGTGATTTAGGAGACACAATGTGCCTTGCTGAATTTACAGCAGCAGAGTGTTAAGATCGAAATGGCCGCCACATAAAATAATGAGACGTTTATAACAAATCTGGCAGACCTGGCTGCATATATTGTCTATTCAACAGAGCAACTAAAAAGCAATTTAAAAGTTGTTTGGTGCACAGAGTGCCGAGATGTAAAACCACTTTTTCAGCAATTTTAATTACTGCATAACTTTTATCTGCTACAGTTTAATACATTAAACAATTTGTGTAAGAATGTATATCAATACGTCTATTATATTCCTCAGCTAAAGATTTGGCTCTAAATCTATCACCAATCTGCATATCATTATCTAATTAAATCAAAAGTTTTGTTTTTGCTCCATCATCTCCACTACACGTCTGACGAGTCCAATGAATTACTATTCAGACAAGCAACACGCTGTTTAATTGCCCCGGGCGCCGGCGGTATCGTGATACCCGCCGATATTTACTAATACAACACCCACAAACAATATAGGAACTATTGGAATGTTGACTAATCGGACCGCATTCCTGACTCACAACCGCGAAGCATTCGTTCTCGCAAGGACATTAGAATTTGTTGACTTTCCGTTAATCTCGGGGATATTCGGCGCCGGGCGGTTTCGTGAGATAGTTTGAAGTTATAAAGAGGTTTCGGCTGGAGGCGATCGTGGCGATATTGGAGGCCCGCGTGCGCGTCGTGAGGCGGCATTTCACGGCGGTATCTGGCGGGCCATCGGCTGTGCCACAAACCTCCGTCACGAGCATACGCCACCTCTATCGCGGCCGTAATTGTGGCCCGCAGCTGCTTGCCGCGGGCGCTTACGAGGTCGTGAGACCTATCGCAAACATGCTCGCCGTTCGAACGTACTTTTACTCCTTTGTCGCGTTTAATCGAAGTAAACCACGACTTCACTCCGAACTTTATTACTCTGCTCGCCCTTTCACCTTCAGTGATAAATGTCAGCGCCCGCACGACTGTGGAGTGCTGTTTGACTTTTCGCTCCGACCATAATAAGCTGTTAAGTATCATAATAAGCACGCTAGGCATGTAATCCGTCGCGGTTGCACCCCCATTCATTTATACCCTATCAAAAACTCCACCCTATTCATTGCTCTAGGCTGTAGTCGGCAGTCTTTTGTCTATATCAATATGAATTATTGATATTGTTTGCTGAGAAAAAGTCTTACATTCTTGATCTTAACTTCGTTACAACACGTCAATATCACTTAGTCATCCAATTACTGGCCCTCATGGTGCCTTTCACAATCAATTAGGACCCTCGGATACTGTTAACTGGCCTCCGAATATTTCCTCTATTACCAAACATTATTAATGAGTTTTGGAGTTCAATATGTTCGTTCACCAGCTGAACTTTGAACAGATCGAAGCCAGGTAAATCATCCTTCCCTAGCTGAGCGCCGGAGGAGCGCGCCCACGCGGCCGGTACAAGCCACGACGCTAACGAGTCGCCAGGTGTCCGCGCCCACGCTCGCTCACTCCTCTGAATATCTTTGTCTTCGTACTTCGAGCATAAATCGCGTACGTGAAAGTTTTACGAGCACCTTACGCTTCTCCGAAGCAATAAACAGCGGGCGGCGGAGACAATGCCTCCGAACCGCGAAATGTCTCGGCAAACCTCTGCACACGTGCATCGATTTCGCCGATAGCTTGGATTCCATCGGCGACGGATCGATCGAGGGCATTGTGCGGGTAACGGTCGCTCGCAGCTGCGTGTGAGCACACGTGACGGTGCCGGTGGCCGGATAGCTAAATAAATGCGATGAACATACCTATTCATTATCCAACGACAATGCTTCTCTCATAAAGGGATTTCACGTGTGCGCTCTCGCAAAGTCCCGATCCGTTCGGGACATGTGTGCTCTCCCTTCGGTATGTGTCCGTAAATAGGGTGTGGCCACGTGCGGCCGCTCAGCTGTGCGCGGATGTGCGCGGACGGGAAGCGGTAATCCAACACTCGCTGATACTCAGAAAGCTATACTGAAACTGCCGAAGTGCCTTCTGTAAACATCCACCCGTAGTTGCAGCAACTGACTCCGCCGTGCTGACGCTAATGAAGCAATCACTCAGGCGACGGTGTCACCCGTTCACTCGTTTAGGGTGGCGGAATAACCGGCCCATTGTCCGGGCACTAATGAATTAAAACATTGTCGAAACAAAGCGCATATGTGGTGACAGATGGCCGGACGCGGGCGGGATGCGCGTGTGCCACCCGATACTCTATTTGACCCAATCACTTGCAGCAGCAGCAAAATTACCACGGCCAATAACTTTAATGATCATGACACCTAAAAAACATAGAACGGTATTATCTTTATTGGCTAAAATCAACATGCTGACATTTAATATCATTACTCTAAATTAATATGAACATGTCTTGCTCGACATGTGCGCGCGCATCTGTGCAATGATTGGTAGCTGCACCCTCTTTACCGATTACATGGGTTCACCTTCTGTTCCCTTATCAACCAAACCCTTCATTAATGAATTGATACACCCACTTCTGTGTTTTACGAATGCCAAAACTTATGAGTTTGTTTGTTTTGTTGCAGACGCCCGAAAAGCAGAACCAGCCGGACAGGCCGTCGTGCTAAGTGATGCGTAGGTTTTAAGGGACAATTAATTTATGGTAAAGTAAGATACCTCGAGGCGGCTCCCCGCGGCGGGCGGCCCGGCATCAGTTCCAGTGAACATCATCTCGCGATGATATCCTATGTGCGATCTCGTTACGATCAGTAAACTACTTTAATATTATATTATTGTTTGGTGGCATTACGCTGAAGACTAAGTGCATTGCAATGCAATCGCCGTCGTCACGACGAGGCGAACTGTTTTGTTATATTTTTATGTAAAAAGCTTTACTAATTATTATTAGACCGATGTATGTACATTTTCACGTTTGTAAATAGGTATGTTGAGTGGTTTGTGTAACACCTAAAGGCAGCTTAACAGATCCTTAAAGTAATCAACTGGTTTCCTTTCCAATCTCAGCTGTTTTTATTCTGTATCGTATCATAAAACAGTCTTAAAAAAGAAATTTATAATTACGACGAAATTCTGTTTTTAGATATTTTATTATAAAACGATGCTTCCAATTATATCAAAGAAGTGAATCAATTCTAAGTTGATTTACGTTAATAATTTTATTATTTCTAAGTTATGATTTCAAGAGTGTGATTTTGCATGGCGATTTTGTTTCTATTAGTTTATGAAGAATACTTTCTAAGAGCATAACGCAATTTTTATTATTAATTTATATTTTGCGTTAGCACAAAACTATATTTTGTAAATAGTGTATGTAATAAAAGAAAGTTTATAAAAAAAATAGCGAAAAATTATCGATTTGAAAAACTTTCATGATTTATTTTGAATATAAGGTGAAGATGCTTTAATTATCTTATTAATTCTTATTACTTATGGTGTATTATAATTTAAAATAGACTGTTATAGTTTTAGAGGTGGTGGCCAGTGTGGCCGTAGTGGTGGAACAAATTGTGTAGAGATAGATGTATACAGTGGTATGTGCCTGTGTGCAGCGCGCACACAGACACAACCTTCCCAGTAAAGTTCCGATACGTCACAAATTGTATCAGTTTGATAACTAAGATTCACAATTTATTCGTCCATGTTTTCCTTTTATTTAGTTGTTAACTACGCACTGATTTTTTCGATAAGTATCTACCGATAAATCAATGAAACAGAAAATAAAAAAATATTGACACTATTCCGAAATTTCATTTCTATCCTAAATACCTTTACCCTAATTGTTCAATTATAATTATCAGTGAATTTATCATAAAAATATGCAGTTTTAAAAATCTGTAAGTCTCTACATAGTTAAAATTATCCCAGAATGATTAAGCAATTGAACATAAGCAGAGAAACAACAAAATATGAGTGCAAGTGCATGCACGTAAAAAAAATTATTATAGAGTACAGCAAGAAAATTAAATTAATCACACGTACTACACAAGGACTTTATTAGTCTGACTCACAAGCAATACCTAGTCAGCAATTCAGCATAATTAATTTTATTTAAAATGAGATCCAGCTCATCATGGAACGGATTCAAATGTGTATAACATTCGATGCTGGCTCTACCTAACCTCTAATCTGACACAATCTGAATATAATTTCATATTTTCTTGATTCTTCTATCTGTGACATGGAATTTATCGAAAAACCTAGTCTTATGTGAGCTTCACAAGATCACGCGATTACGTCACACGGCCAATTATCGCGAGTACAATATTTGGTCAGCTGTGTGTGTACTTTATTGTTCAACAATCGCCGGCAAACATCTTTGAATTCTGTAGTCAAAACATAGAGACCATATTCACTTGAACACAAATTCGTACTCTGATGATATAACTATACACCCTATATTTCAAGAAATAAGGTAAACTATTGAGTGAATAACGCTACCATCACTAAATTATATTATGAGCGCTTGTTCGCAAACATTAGCTCAATATCGTCATGCTGTACAATACGACTAATTACTAATTGGTGAACAAATAAATGTCACATGGCACAAATAAGAAAATAATATTGAAATTGCAAAAATAATTTCCGCGACCCTGCCAGGATTCGAACCTGGAATCTTCTGATCCGTAGTCAGACGCGTTATCCGTTGCGCCACAGGGCCAGTTGTAACAGGCGCCGAAATTAGGATGTCCGTTCCCAACGAGATTTTTTCAGGCAAAGGTAAACTGAAAACATTTTTTGATATCATACCTACAAGTCACACAACACGTTTAGTTATGTAGTAACAACAAGTCGCTGTTTATAACCACTGTAGGTAACCAAATGCGTAATTTGACCCGACTGAAAAAATAACATTTTTTTTTCAGTCGGGTGAAAGTTATTATGTACGAATGATTCAAATTAAAAAAAGATTAAAAAAATTAAATGTAAAGTTTAATGACATAAGAACAAACTTGAACATGAGCCTGACAAACAGAAGACGCAAATATTAATATAGTAAATATCCAAATGATGAAAATATCTTTCATATTAATCCTACATATTTATTTATGTGACGTACCTATTTGTGTAAATATTTTAGAATTATTACCATAACGTCACAGCACAGCTCAGCACAAATACCGACCCGGCATCTTAACGAACGCGATAACGAGTCGACATCGAGATTGGTGTACACAGGTGTGCACGCGACCTTCGCTTTTGGTGCACGTGTGGCCTCGCCTTATCACAGCCTCCCATTACGAGGCATTAGGCTGACCGCCACATCCTATACGAAGTAATTTTTTGTTTCAGCCTTTTTACTGTGGACAGGCCACCATAAAAAAAAAAGAAAAAAAAGTTTTTCGAGCAAAGCATTGGCTGAACTGGCTAGTTAAATTGGCTGAAAAAAGTAAATAAATAAATAAAATAGTTATTAGAAATCATGTTGCCTATACCAATACAATACCAAAAGTACGAAAACTTTCTCCAAAGTTGGCTTCATAAAACAAGAAAATAATATCTATCTATACCTACCACCAATTGAGTTGAAAGCCATTAGGAAATTTCTGCTAATAACTTCCCGTAACTTAAGTATTTATATCATTTAGGGGTAATAGATATCAACAAGCTTCATAGCATTTCTTCGCTACGGAGTTTTCCATTAATCAACGCTAGATTTCCAATTATCTCCTTATAAGATGGTTTCCAATCCGTGCTACAAGGTGCACGAACTATTAAGTGCGTAATCAGTCAACGAAGGAGTTCCTGTTAGAGGACACGATAAAAACATATGGGAGGAAGGACCTGATAGACCGATAAGGAATATATTTCTTGGAGGGCACGTTAAACCGGCCACCATTCACCAATAATTATTCTGGTCTTAAAAACTCAATTAATTTTAAATCAACTGTAAATTAAGATTTTTGGTTGCTTTGTAGGTATTGGAAGTTGTCAATAGAGATGGCAAAATAGTAACGTCATTGTTTGTGTTTCATACAAAAGTTATGAAGAATCTCGTTTTGACAGTTCATAAAAAGTACGTCAACGATCCACGGACCCATTAGGAAATCAAGCATAATTTTAATTAAAAAAACAGCAATTCGGACCATTTATTTTAGTACTATACCTACTACCCCAGGCTTAGAAACACTGTTTTAGGGGAGCATAGGTAGAGAATAGACTAATCCTGCGTATTTAAACTATCAATAATTCCGATTCAAACTATCAAAATAGCTGTACAGTATCGCTTGCCATTTAAACGGTGAAAATATTGCTTTATTGCGCGATAACAGGTGGAGTGGGTGCATATCGGCGCGCGTGGAGAATTTTATTTCACGCGTCTGCCATGCCGGCGGATGGCTGTTGCCTGCCTTCTAATACTTCAGGAATTACATAAATGATATAAAATATGAAATTTTGTATTTGCATAAGAACGACTACAGAAAACATAAAATAGGCCTTAAACTACAGTATGATCTGCTACGAATTGTTAAATTACCGTAGCACTAGAAAGAATATGTAGGAAGAAAATGTTTGCTACGAATGGTCTAAATTCTCGCGTAGAATAAATAACGTAGCAAAATATGTCAAGCACTACTTGAGACATGATAGATTCTTAGATTAACACGAACCTTTTGAAAATTATTTTCTGAAAATATGTCTACTTTCTCTAAATTAAACACCTTTTATACATAACTGATTTTAATCAAATACTAGAAAAGATGTTAGAAATGACCATAGTATTTTTGAACTATCTACCAAACATTACATGACTGTACATTTTGATGATGAAACAGACTGAAGCGGATGGGCTTATCGAGGCTCTCCAGCAGATAAGCGCGTGCAATCAGCCGGTCGTCCACGTTATACCCCAATAGGCTAGTTGCCTAAAAAAATTTTTTTAGTCCGTAATGTTTAATATCAAAAAATATTGGACACGTATATTTTTATTTGTCAATCTAACAAATAATTACATAGTTATGGTGCGTTGAAGTTGCGCACGACGTCACAACGTGCGGCATTTTTAAGCAAGCGTTGACGTCACGGCACGGGCCTCTTCTTATGAACTTTGGGGCGCTTTATCTCTTTAAATTTTCATTAGTTTGAAAAAGTGAAAAATACGTGTAGAGTATTTTTTGATAAGTTAACTGACCGACTAATTAAAACTCTTGCTTTTTGACCCAGAAAGGTACGGGAATATTTAGATAGGTACGGGAAAATTACTTGACCGGTGGGTATTTCTTTTTAGACTTATTTATCTCAGAAGCAAGTATTCACTAAGGGTGGGTTGCAAAATTTTGAAAAAAAACTACGTGTTAGGACTAGGTTAGGACTGCTTAAATTCGAGTCAGTACATTGTTTCACGGTAAGAAACCATTTTATTTGCCAGTTTCTGTGAATTTTAGTACCTACTTACAAAGCAAGAAATTGCATGTTTTCCAAGGCTATCTCTAAAACACAATGGAAATCTTTGTTTTGATCTCACATGACAGCATTCATGAATGTGTTTAAAATCAACACTGTTGAGTATTTGTTGTTAATTAAAATTCTGATGTATAAATAAGCGTTTCTAGTGTTATCTAGACTAATCAGAAATGTCTAGGGATAAAGGTGGTTTTTACAAGATTTAAAAGCTTTTTCTTTTTAAGTATATATTTACAAAAAAAAAGTATGTAAGTATGTTTATATCCGTTGTCTAGTACCCATAGTACAAGCTTTGCTTAGTATGGGACTAGAAGCGCAGTGTAAATTCCAAGGATATTTATTATTTATTTATTTTCAATTTCCTGATAACGTAAAGATTTGGCACTGACACATCCACACAAATATTTTACATGAGGAAAACATGCATTGGTATGATGTTCTTATTCGTATTATTAATTATATTAATACCTATAAAATTGGCAGGTTGTTTGCGCACCAATTAATACAGCCTACGAGTACATTCAGCTGTTAATCTTTAAATCTTAGAACAACACGGAACTGATAGCTGATACCTTATAGAGTAATCACTAATCTGTAATCATCTAAGATATAGCAGTACACAGACAGGTGCGCCGGCAGGTGTTCGCACCGGCCAAGTGTGAGCGCACCGGCGCTGATAACGGCTGATAACAGCTATCACAACCGCAAGGCTCGAAGTACGCTAGCTTCACCTGAATTGTCTAAGTACTTCAAGTACAGTTAACAGCACAACAGACTACATTTAGATCCAAAATAACATTTATTACAACGGTATAAGAAACTGATTGATGAGCTGACGTCCGTACAAAATAAACCGGCCAAGTGCGAGTCGGGCTCGCGCACAAAGGGTTCCGTAGCAGCAACAGTTAAATCAACCTATCTCAAAAACTATAAGAGATACTTTGATCAAACCAAAAATCGTTGAAAGAGTTAATTACCATGCATCACCTCTATTTTTTTTAGAATTTTATACCCCGTAGTTATAAAAATAGAGGGGGGGGGACATACTTTTTACGACTTTGAGAGCTGATATCTCAAAAACCGTTCACTTTAAGAAAAATGTTTTTTAGAAAACTTTATATCATTTTAAAAGACCTTTCCATTGATACCCCACACGGGTATGTACATCGAAAAAAAATTTTCATCCCTCAGTTACATGTATGGGGGGCCCCACCCCCAATTCTTTTTTTTACTATTTAGTGTCATAATTTTGTAGCGGTTCATACAACACATATTCCCATCAAATTTCATCACTGTAGTACTTATAGTTTCCGAGTAAATCGGCTGTGACAG